GGCATGGTGGTTCACACCTGTAATCCCACCGCTTTGGGAGGCGGAGGAGGGCAGATCACCTGAGGTCAGGAGTTCGAGACCAGCCTGGCCAACATGGCAAAACCCCGATTCTACTAAAAATAAATACAAAAATTAGCCAGGTGTGGTAGTGCATATCTGTAGTCCCAGCTACTCGGGAGGCTGAGGCATGAGAATCGCTTGAACCCAGGAGGCAGAGGTTGCAGTGAGCCAAGATTGTGCCACTGCCCTCCAGCGTGGGTGACAGAGTGAGACTCTGTCTCAATTAAAACACAAACAAAAAATCAACTCATTTAACCCTAAGTTTGGTACTATTAACCAATTTATAGATAAGAACACTGAGGCATGGAGATTAAATAATTTGCCATGTCACAACTACTAGTAAATTAGAGCTAGAATTTATACCCAAAAGTCTAGTCCAGAGTCCATGCTGTGCTCTGCTGCTTTTAATATTTCTATATGCAATTTTTATTGGTTTTTTCTTTGTGTATGCGTGTGTGTGGGGGCGGCGTGGTGAGGATCAATGTTAGACTCTTTTAGTTAAAAAAGACCTTTTCCCCTCTCTACTCTGAGGCAGCTTAAATTATATTGTAATTATGTATTCAAAGAGTTGGTACCTTTTCTTTGTGAAACTATTCATTTCTGGTGTTTTTATGAGAGGAAGTTCTTAGACAACTCTGCTATCTCTTCTTCTTTTTAAATTAGTCTGTTTGGCCGGTGTGGTGGCTCATGCCTGTAATCCCAGCACTTTGGGAGGCCGAGGTGGGTGATCACCTGAGGTCAGGAGTTTGAGACCAGCCTGGTCAACATGGTGAAACCCCGTCTCTACTAAAAATACAAAAATTAGGGCATGGTGGGGGGCACCTATAATCTCAGCTATTTGGGAAGCTGAGGCAGGACAACTGCTAGAACTGGGGAGGCAGAGGTTGCAGTGAGCCGAGATTGTGCCATTGCACTCCAGCCCAGGCTGACAACAGCAACACTCTGAAATAAAATAAAAAATAAAATAAAAAATAAAAATAAAACAAAATAAAATAGTCTTAGGATTCTTTTCAGCTATTTCGTCTGTTTCTGTTTTTTAAGACAGGGTCTCGCTCTGTCACTCAGGCTGGCGTGCAGTGGTGCTATGTTGGCTCACTGCAACCTCTGCTTCTCGCGCTCAAGCGATCCTCCCACCACAGCCTTCCAAGTATCTGGGACCATAGGCATGCACCACTACATCTGGCTAATTTTTTTTGTATTTTTGGTAGAGATGGGGTTTCACCGTGTTGCCCAGGCTGGTCTTGAACTCAAGTGATCCACTAGCCTCAGTCTCCCAAAGTTCTGGGAGCTATCACTCCCAGCCCCTTTTCAGCCGTTCTTACTGAGAACTTTGAAGATGACCCAGGAGGAAATTGTTTTTATGGCTAAAAAATAGTAGCTAACATTAGTTCCCATTCCCTATCATAAATATAAGATATAAAGCACCAAAATTTACATTAAGTACTAAACTCTGAGACCTTGTGAGTCCTGGCTCACTCTTCAAGGCCCCATAGTACTAATGTTTTAGAGTTGGCTTCAAAACAAAGCCTATTTTGGTTTTAACTTAAGGTTTCCCTTCTGCACAATTACATATACAAGTTTATATGCAAGCTACATAGCCTTTTACAGAATTAAACCTTGTTGACTTATACTAACTGGTAGGTCTTTCTCCATCTGATTAATTTAAACTCATCCCTTAAGAGCTAGCTTCCCTTCTACAGCCTTACTCTGTGCCACCAGGCAGAATTAAGTACTTCTTCCTTGGTATTTTCACCATATTTGGCACACAGTACCGTCTGATCCATCTCTCCCTCCTTCCTTTTGGGACATGCTTTCTAATACCCACAAATTCAACCGCCTAATCATATAGATTTGCCATGCTCTAAGGAAGTCTGTATATAATTCTATTGTCTATTTTTTCTAAGAATGATATTCTGAAACAGACAGTCTTAATTATTTAATTTGGGTTAGAATTCTGTGAGACCAGTCCATTATGGGCTTCTTAGACTGTAACACAAATATTGAGAGTCAAATGCTCTAATGTGGGGGATCTCAGTGATACCTATTTGAGGGAAACAGGATCCCTATTTGAGGGAATCAGTTGAAACTCACTTTTTCATTTTCTCCTAAGACTTAAGAAGATAACCATGGAGACAAATAGAAGATATGCCATAGTGTTAGGATGAATAAGGCCTATGAGGAGAGTTTTGATTTCTTCTGAAAATTCTGTAAGGCTCATGATAGCAAAAGAATGCAAGAAGGAATGGCAAGGCATGATTGATGGGCACAAAGAAATTAAATACTATAAATTGAAGTAAGCCTAAACAGTAAAAGAGACTCATGGTGATAATGAAAGAATGAATTGCATTGCCTTTAATAAACCTGATGACTGTTTAGAAAAAGACATATATTACCCTCATGCAGAAAGTCACGATACTTTAAGACCCAAAGAAAGTACATGTTACTAAGGTTTGTCTATGGGTTAAATGTGTGAGGAGGAGGAACTGTGCATCATCTAGACAGAACAATATATAGCTAGCTAAAACGCAAATCTCAGAACCCTAATGAAATTTTACTTAAAAATAGCACTTCAGGGCAAGATGGACGATCCCTGTTGAGTGTCTTGTTAAGTCACAAAAATAGGAAGGAAATGAATTATCAGACTACTTCCTGAGGAATTTGCTTTCCTGGTAAGGAGAGATCCTTTATCCAAGGCTTTTTTGGAAAAGACTGGTTGTTTTGTGTGGTGTTATAATTAGGTATCCAAGCTTGTTCAAAAATCATATCCCACTGCCTGTAGTTATGGTTCACCAGATAATCAGGGTTAGTAAGCACTTTAAACACAGCTAGTATCTGTTTGTATGTGTTTATATCTTGCATATGAAAAGGAATTATTCTCAACAAATATTTCTGTGAAGTGCAGTGAGCCGGTAGTATTATATGTAATACAGTGCAGTGGTTCTCAGAGTGTAGCCCCACAGAACCCCAGCAAAGATGCTGGGGTGTAATGATGTCCTCAAAACCATTTCAAAGGGTCTACAATGTTAAAATTATTTTCATAATTATACTAAGAGGCTATTTGCCATTTTAACTTGTTGACATCTGTGCTAATTACATAAAAGCAATTGTGGGTTCAACTGCTGTCACCTTTACATGAATCAAGGTAATGATACCAAACGGTTCTAGCAGTCTTCATGTTCTTTTGCTACCACACATTTAGTTTTTAAAAAATCAGTTTCATTTCATGTCATTGACCAAGACGTATAAATTAATTTTATTACTTCTTAACTGCTAAATTACCTATTTTCAATTTTCTGTATGATTAACTGGAAATTACACATACAGCCATTCTGTCACATACTGATGGTTACCGCAACAAAGAGTATTTGTGCAATTCTTTGAATTGCAAGCAAAATTAGCTGCTTTATTAATGTAACAGTATTTATAATAATTGACAAAGTTTGATTATTCTTCTTAAGTGGTACACATTTTCTTTGAAATTGTATGAAGGGAATCTGTTACTGCAAGTGAAACAAATGGCGATATTTGTTGTCAGTGAGTAAATTTCGAGCTTTCAAATAAATATTAGAATTTTGGAAAACTTGTAACTGCCCTGTGAGTTTGACAGCTTCCCATATGGTGTGAATGCCAACACCCAGGGTTTAGCCAGAAGATGTAACCAAATCTTGCAAGGGACTATCAGTGCCTACAGAAATGGGATAGATCTGAGTTCATCTTGACTCAACAGGGGTAAACTGGAGCTACTACTTATCTTTACTTAGCCTACTGACAATGAGCCAGAACAGCAGTGTTGAGCAATAAAGAAAGTGGACTGCCATCTCAATACCGGGATATCATACAGAATTCTGCCTCCCCTATCACTCCTCCTGGTCTCAACATCAGGGGAGAAAGGGTCAAGAAAGACGAAGGGCAGAAGTGTCTGACAAACAGAAATTACCCACCTACCCCCAAAGTTTTAAGTTCCAGGTAAAGGTCTAGTCTGCCCTGGGAGGAAGTGAGACAAGCACTGGATTTAAAACTGACTGAAGTTTTAATATTAAGAGAACTGACTCTTAAATACTAGAATGAAATGAATTTTTGAAAATTATAGAATTGGTTTCAAGATGCTGTTAAGGTAATTGACATCCAGTGGGAAAGGGAAGTTGGACAGGCTGGAGTTGAGAGGCAGTTATAGACAAAAAGAAAAACTGATTTATATTAGTACCTCAACAAGTTAAGCCTCCTCAATAAAATGGTTACACACAGGTGGACAGTTTTCCACACAGATTGGTGTTCTCAGCCTTCTATCCCATTCCTTTTTTGTATAATCAATGGAACTGAAGAGGGATACCAGTAATGAGATCCTGGTATGAGTTCTAGCATGCCATAATATTTAAGTCTAGAACTAGTCCACCAATTTGGATTAGTTCACTCCTATTTGTAGCTCTGTTTGATAAATGCTAAGTGGATAAGAACCATATTTCTACATCTGGGAGGACACCATCAGAGTTAGACAGATATGAATGGACAAATAAGCATTACTAATGATAGGAGATGCTGAAAGTAATAATAAGTATTTCAAATAATAAAGTAGAGAAGATTGCTGGGAACACAGCTCAAAGAGCAGAAATTAATTTGATATCTCAATGCTTTTAACTTTCACCTTTTAATGATTCAACCAAAGAAGAAACCCAAAAGGAGGCTCATCTGACAAAGAGGAGAAACCAATATATTTTAAATGGATGCTGTTCAACTACACAATACAGAGGAAGGAAAATGAAGGATCTAAAAAAAGAGATTAAGAGAAAAGTAAGTGAAAGCTCATCAAAAAGTAGAACCTGACTTGGGGCCAAACATGGAGGGTGGACAGGCATGAATGATAGACAGAGCGGAACAATTCCTGGATGAATGAAAGACAATAATGTAGAGTGGCTGTGACACATTGCATTATTAATACATACCGAGACTGAATTGCGGGTAATGTTCATGAATCTAACTGCAATTAGTACAGGTTTCTGGATTAGGAAGGACATGAAAAGGAAAGCAGAAGGTTAGAATGTACATGTCATTGCCCCATTAAAAGAGAAGGTTTAATCTTGCAATGGACTGAATATCCATCTTCTGCAACACAGGAAAAAAGCACAGCTTATCTATCTGCTTTGAAAAGTAGGTTTATAGCAAAAGGCTCTTCCCTTCCTGCCTGGATAGCCACCACTACATTGGGCCTCTCAGAACTGAGCCCTGAAAATTCATACTACAGAAATGTTTCACTTTTAAGTGGGATTTCTGTTTTTAATTTCTGGGGAAAAGATTTAGATAGTATCCTATGATGAGTTTTATTTAATATCTTTACTGCCTTCAAAAAGCCCATGCTTATGTTTGTTTTTACAGAAGACCCTTCGCTACCTTAATCAACAGACCTTTGTTAAGCACTTATTCAGTGCCAGGCAGATTAAATAGTAAAGGAAGAAAAAAGAATTATTTTAGTGCTAATCTAAATGCAAACTGTGAAGATATGGGAGGAAGTACTGCTGGACCCCTGAAAGAATGAGGGCATGATGAAGCCTCCTTCTCTTTAGAGATTTACTGGGAATCTGAAATGCGTGCTCATTGTCACAATTTTATTTCACAACTGAGAGGAAGGGTAGCAAATGGGCAATAACTAAACCTTAATGCAGCAGTTTTCCAGTTATCCTGAAAACTGACTTCAGAGTAACATATATGGATAACTCCAGTTCTCAATAAGCACTAATCAATAGGGCTGATGCTATTGATTAGTGATCATTGAGAACTGGAGTTATATGTTACTGGTTGCAAAGGAAGATATTAAAAAGTGGGCAAACCAAGGAAATAAATTATCAGTTTTACAAGGACTGTCTCAAAACCTAACATTAAACTCAAAGAAATACTTTTTCATTACAGTAGACTCACAGATGGAATTCCATTTACTTAAGAATCAAATGATTCCATTTAAATTCAGTTACAAATGATTAAATTCTCTACATCCCAGGAGTCTTGGCAGGACTACCAAAAGTGACACAATTAAAGCTGGGAACAGACAGTGGAAGGAAGTAGGGAAAAAAGTTAGAAAAGGACTACGTTTTCATAGAAAGGACATGAAAAGAAAGCAGGGCAGATTATTAAGACACCAGCATTTTATCTAAATACTTGATTTGAAAAATGCTACACACTTATTCACATAGATTCTATAATGTAACTAAAGAGCAGATTAAACATGAGGAAGCCATAGCACCCCGAGATTTGGTGACTTTTTACTTGTTGTTTTATAAAAAAGATTCTGATAATAATCCTTGTATACACCACAAATGCACAATTAAATTCCCAAGACAACTCCCATTTTTCCATTATTTCATGTCTTGCATCTTACCATTGATCTACGAATCAGTGACAACCTGGTCTTTGCCTTATTCTCAGCAAATTCCAAGCTACTGATATCTTTGAGACGAGCCTTGTATTTATTCATTTGTTCCACAACGATTAGCTCCACACAACTGAAACAGGAGGAAAGAGAAAAAACTGTTAAGAATGTAAATAAATAAAGTATAGCACTCACAGACTGTTTTTGTTTTAGACAGTTGAAAGATGAAGGAAAAAATTAACATCCCTTGCTTGACAAACTCAGAGACAAGGTTTAGAATGGTGGTTCACAACTTTGGCTGCACTTTAGAAGCCATCTAAAGAGCAGTTACGGCTGGGCACAGTGGTTCATGCCTGTAATCCCAGCACTTTGCGGGGCAGAGGCAGGTGGATCACCTGAGGTCAGGAGTTTGAGACCAACCTGGCCAACATGGTGAAATCCTGTCTCTACTAAAAATACTAAGTTAGCCATGGTGGTGCATGCCTATAATCTCAGCTACTTGGGAGGCTGAGGCAGGAGAATCACTTGAACCTGGGAGGTGGAGGTTGCAGTGAGCCAAGATTGTGCCACTGCACTCCAGCTTAGGCGACAAGAGCAAAACTCCATCTCAAAAAAAATAAAAAATAATAAAAAATAAAGAGCAGTTACAAATCCCAATGCCCAGGCTATACCCTAAACCAATTAAATCAGACTCTATGGGGATGGGATCCAAACAGTGACATATTTTTTTAAAGTTCCTTTTGCAGTCAAGATTAAGGAGAGCAAAAGAAAACCACATTAGAAGGAAAGCAGAGCCCCAAGAAAAAAGACCAAGGTGAAATACAAGAATATTGAAGTATTAAGACCAAAGGATTCAGAGCCATAAGACCACAGTTAGGCTAGATTACAGGAAGATACTAAGTGTTCATAATTTGGTAAAATGGAAATCTAAAACCTATTTAGAAACTATAAGCAGTCCTAAAGAAAAGCCAGATTTAAAAAATAAGACGCTTTAAGACAAATGATGCTCAGTTGAATCCAGGAGTTTGCATCCTCAGCATAAGAAAACCCAGCAGTGTCCAACAATCTTCTTAAAAACACCTGAATTTATGAACCCATTCACTATGTCTGATATCTGGATACAGTGACTACGTAGTCAGAAGTCCCTGAGGTCTTGTAGAGGTTATGGTAACTGGCCTTACGTGGTAGTCTTACTGATGTCCTGTACACTTTGTAGTGGGTCAGTGGTGTCAGGGCAGCGGAGAATGCAGGGCGCAAACACAATGGCCAAAGCATTAGCAGACATTCGATTAGTGTCTTCCTGTAGAGCAATCCTAAGAAATAAAACAAAACAAAAAACAAGTGACTAAGGGATTAAAAGGGAGCACCATAAGGAAAAGGCAGAAGAGATGAGCAAAAGAAGACAGTATGACATGAACTGCATAGTACTAGAAGGATATAAGTACTTCTAGTAAGTTTAAGTGTCGCAGACTTTTCCCAAGTTGTTCCTTTGTCTCTGGAAAATGTATTTTCACTTGTTCTTTCCTTGAAGCAGTCTAGGTCAGCCGATAGCTTCCCAAGGGAAATCTGGGACCTACCTGCTCCAGGCCAAGATCACTAGATGAACTGAAGTCCAAAGAATACAGAATCAGCCAGGCATGGTGGCCCACACTTGTAATCCAGCATTTTGGGAGGCTGATGTGGGCAGATTACTTGAGGTCAGGAGTTTGAGACAAGCTTGGCCAACACGGCAAAACCTTGTCTCCATTAACAATACAAAAGTTAGCCAGGTGTGGTGGCGCACGCCTGTAATCCCAGCTATGTAGGGGGCTGAGGCAGGAGAATCACTTGAACTGGGGAGGCGGAGGTTGCAGTGAGCTGAGACTGCACTCCAGCCTGGGTGACAGAGTGAAACTGTGTCTCAACAACAACAACAACAACAACAAAAAAGAATGCAGAGTAGAAGCTTTAACCACAAATAAAGATGGCTTTCTTCTCAACTACTGCTGATATTTACATACAGGGGAAGAGACACTACTCCTGACACCTCTTCGGTCAGTTAATTTCTGAGAACGATCTGAACCCCTCATAAGAATTAGGTCATTTCAGTAGATTATATATCCTTTCTAGTTCAGCTGTTAGAAAACAGGCTAAACTACACAGTGCCACCATGAGGCTGAAGCTGCTACATGGTTCAAACAAGGGCAGAAAAGCAACTGCCATGCATTCCAGCTCAGCTGAAGATTTCTGCTCCAAGGTATCCTAACCACCTGTTTGAGACACTGACTTTATAAATAGAAGAAAAAATACAAATACTTGTCAGTTTTCCAAAGGAGAAATTCCTTATCTATGTAAAATAATCCAAGAGAAACTATTAAAAATCGTTTCCTTGCTTCTTAAAGTTACCTGACTAGATGAAAGATGAGGCGTTCCAGTGTATTGAGATGAGTTCGGGAGAGTTGATCAATCACAGAGTATACACCACGGATTGTCTCCTTCCTCTCCTGAAGGCCTAAAAACATTAAGAGCAGAAACTAAGACTAAATATCCCCTCTTATACAGTGTATCTTCCTCCCAGACACTATGAAGCAAAGGAGGCTGGCTATAGAGTTTCAGGAGTAGTTGTACCTGTAAGGCTGGAGAAGAGCAACTCAAACTAACTATTTAACTCCTTTAGCTTGAGTTCTGTATTCATAAACAGTCTCCTTAGTTTGAACCTGTATCACAGTAATCCTTAATAACAGCAAGGGGAAAGAGATGTTCTAGTTTTTCAGTCATTGTGTAGCAGACTGATTTCTCATTATATTCAACATAATTTATGAATCCTCAGGGCCTAAATACCTCTAGAAAGGCCTTTATCAATATCCTATGCACCTATAGCACTGAGAAACTACACTCTGAAACCTGTTAGGCTTGGCATAAAACAGCCAGCTTTACACATAGTTCTTGCCTAGATTTCCAATTTAAATGAACATAAGCCTAATCTTAAAACTCTTATTTTTAATATTTTAATCTGTTTTATAACCCCAGTCTTTCAATTTCTTTGTAAGAAGCAACCAAGTGGCTCACTCAGAACATTTTTAGGACACTAACATTTTGATGAGTCTCTAAAAAGTCAACATATGAATAGGTGACAGTATACTGGCAGTTTTGTATTCACTGTCAAAAGTTTACCTTTAGATCTATAATAATTAAACCACTAGAGGACGGCTTGAAGGTGGCATTTCTTTCCCAACTACAGGCCTTCTCTCTAACCCAGGAAGCCTATGCTTACCCATAGCTCGAAGAAATTCCTCATAGAGTTCAAAGGTCATGAGAGGATTGGGCAAATCTCGAAGCCATTGTTTGAATACACTTGCAATGACGTGTATGTTATAGTCATCTAGATTTACATTCTCAGCATCTATTTAGAGACAAGAGTTAGATTAACAAAGCCAAAACATGCAAAGAGATTCAAATAATTCACTTTACAAACTATCATCATTAAAGGAAGGCTTCATGTTTCTTTTTTTTTTGAGATGGAGTTTCGCTCTTGTTGTCCAGGCTGGAGTGCAATGTTGTGATCTTGGCTCACCACCTCTGCCTCCCAAGTTCAAGTGATTCTCCTGCCTCAGCCTCCCGAGTAGTTGGGATTACAGGCATGTGCTGCCACGCCTGGCTAATTTTGTATTTTTAGTAGAGCTGGGGTTTCTCCATGTTGGTCAGGCTGGTCTCAAACTCCCAACCTCAGGTGATCCACCTGCCTCGGCCTCCCAAAGTGGAGGGATTACAGGCGTGAGCCACCATGCCTGGCCGGCTTCATGTTTCTTAATCAAACTGACTAACCTATTTTCCACAATGTAATTCCATGCTTTGGAACTGTGCTTCTAACTGTGGTGAAAGAATACGTCTTGTTGATTTGTTTTCTAAATCTGTTGTGGAGTGAAGTGTGTAAAATAAAAGATCATGGCCAGGCACGGTGGCTCATGCCTGTAATCCCAGCACTTTGGGAGGCTAAGATGGGCAGATCACTTGAGGTCAGGAGACAGAAAGCAGCCTGGCCAACATGGTGAAAGCTGTCTCTACTAAAAATATAAAAATTAGCTGGGTGTGGTGGCACACGCCTGTAATCCCAGCTACTTGGGAGGCTGAGGCAGAATTGCCTGAACCCGGGAGACAGAGGTTGCAGTGAGCCAAGGTTGCACCATTGTACTACAGCCTGGGCAACAGAGCAACTGTCTCTAAATAAATAAATAAATAAGTAAATAAATAAATAAATAAATAAATAAAATATTTTGATGCTGAAGTATTGTTAAACTGCTATAAACGTCTCTACATGCTTGCTCTCAATTTCCGCATTTCTCTTGCTATGGCTTTGTCCTCAGACCACACTTTGAGTAGCAATGTTTTACATGACAAATGAAAAAACGCATACAGGACATTTTCTGAAAGTAAGGCTGATTTTAAGTAATTCTTAGAGATAAAAGGACAGTGATAATTGAGCTTAGAAAATGTAAAGAAAACACGTTTACCCATTTCACTTATAAACTCCCTAAGGTTATACAGATTAGATGACTGCGAAGATTTGGGATGACTGATTTTCACTTGTGCTATTTCAAGGTATCAGAGACAAAGTCAGTAACTGCCTGTAAACTAAAGTAGACCAAGTCTCTTGCAGATGGAACTTTCTTGTAGACGGAACTGGTAAGACGGAGTCTTACCAGACATTGTTATTATTTTCATACTCATTTCTCATTGATTTGTTCATAAGAAACAGCACTGTACACAGGTTCTTGGCCACACAAGGACACACTTTGTACTCTGTTTGGTTCAAAAAGATCTATTCCTTCCCAACAGTGATAAAGTGTAGAAATTGAGAATGAAACTAAAGTCAATCCCCAGCATGAATTCCAGTACTAAAACTACAGCTCTACAAAGATACATGCTCAACTCACTATCAGTTTGAGTAACTGTCATCAATGTAGGCAGGCAAGATGATACTCAGGAAAGAGTACCCCTTGGAGTCAGAATCATAAAGAGAAAGGGGAAACATTATGAATTCAGAAGATCTGGGGTTAACTCCAATTTGGTCACTTATTGGTGATGAGTCTTTGGGCAAGATCCTCTGTAAGTCTCAGTTCCGTTTTCTGTAAATGGGGATAACAATATCCCTAATTCATAGGATTGTTGTGAATATTATAAAAACATTAGTACAGCACCTTGCATCATCATCAGCAGCTCATTATTTAATTTCCCTGTACCTTAGTTTTCTTCTTTGTCAGAGGTATCACAATCTTACTGAATTATTACAAAAATTAAATGACATCTGTCCCAAGTACAAATTATGTGCTCAATATATGTCTGCTGAATTGACCAAATGAAACCAAAGACTCTTTAGAAAACCAAAAAATGATAACAAAGCGCCACAGAAAAGAACGCATTCTTCCGGCTGCTAAGGAAAGGATTGACATGTAATGAAAACTTGAAGAGCATGAAATGACCTATTTAAATAAAGTATTTCATTATGATTTAGAGGGCACTATCTTACCTGTATCTAGACCCTGTCGAAGCTCCTTGATTTTATTAGTCGAACCAGACTTTCGATAAATACCTTCTGTATACAGTCCATGCATTTCAATGTAGTTTATGAGCTTTTCCACCACTAAAGGAACAGTTCGGTCTTCGCTGGTCAAACGGGACAGTTCAACTCCAAATTGTCGAGATGATAGCTCTGGATCATACTAAATAAAAGATAATTTTTAGTTTCCAAATGCATTTTAACACCTTGAAACGTGTTTAACCAATTCTTTACCAGGAGCTACTTTTTATTTCTCTGAAGTTTTATGAGCATAGTTAGAAGAGTTGGTAGAAAGGGAATTATGTTTAACTAAGTATAAATAAGTGAGATTAGTTTCAATCCTTTTCCACCAGAATCTCCAAAAGAAAATAATGGAGTGAAGAATGAAGGCAGTGGCAAAGGGCTACAGCTTCTTCTGTCAAAAATTTGCTTCAAAAGCAAAGCTGGGATTTGGGCGTGGGGGAAAGGGTTGGATTTTATATGCAAACAGCTTGACCACCTACCAGATACCACTAGAAAATCTACTGATTTGATAAGAATTAGAGTTGTCAGCAAGTTCTTAAGCATAAGAATGCTTTGATGTTTATATAAACTTTATGGAAGTTTAACTGAAAAATGATTTCATAATTAAAGGTAGAGGAACACACAGATTAGCCCATGACTACTGTTATAGCTCTTCTGTATTGACTTGAAGAGTGTATCTAATATCATACTTTCTTTCTTTCTTTCTTTCTTTCTTTCTTTATTTATTTATTTATTTATTTATTTGAGACAGAGTCTCACTCTGTCACCCAGGCTGGAGTGCAATGATGCAATCTCAACTCACTGCAACCTCCGCTTCCCAGGTTCCAGCGATTCTCATGCGTCAGCCTCCCGAGTAGCTGGGACTACAGGTGCGTGCCACCACGCCCAGCTGGTATTTGTAGTTTTAGTACAGACGCGGTTTCATCATGTTGGCCAGGCTGGTCTCAAAATCCTGTCCTCAAGTGATCTGCCCGCCTTGGCCTCCCAAAGTGCTGGGATTACAGGTGTGAGCCACTGCGTCCGGCCAATATCATACTTTATTAACCTATAGGTTACTTTATATCCTATGTGACTGCAACAGAACAGCTTACCCAAGATTATTTGAAGTAATTCACTGAAAACAAAAATGGCAGGTATTATCTCTGAGACTGAAAATTGTTTTGCAAATCTGTCTTTCCTTCTCCTGTACCATTGGCCTTCCCTAACTGTATATTCCATTTTCTTCTTTAACCTGCACCCAACCAGTTGCCAAGTCAATCAGTTCATCATCTCTATTTTTTCCTTTGTAAGTGTCATCACCTCAGCTCAAAACTGTATCACTAACCAATTAGACTATTTCAACAGTTTCTTGGCCAGTTTTCCCCATATTCATATTTCCCCTTTTAAAATATTCTATAGTATATATAATGTTTTATTATCCTCAAAAACCTTTAGTGGCTAATTAGTATATAGCAAACTAAAGTGCAAACATTCTTGAGTCTCATACTCAAGAACTTACTTGAACTGATTCTAATTTCTACTTTCCAGCCTTACATTCATAAATTTGTCATTTACGTGTTAGGTACCAAGAAAATAAAATCAAGGCCTTCTGCTTCAGACTAGTAGTGTTAGGCCCAGAGCAGTGGCTCACACCTGTAATCCCAGCATTTTGGGAGGCCGACGCAGGTGGATCACCTAAGGTCAGGAGTTCAAGACCAGCCTGGCCCATATGGTGAAACCCCATCTCTACTAAAAATATAAAAATTAGCCAGGCATGGTGGCGGGTGCCTGTAATCCCAGCTACTCAGGAGGCTGAGGCAGGAGAATCACTTGAACACAGGAAGCAGAGATTGCAGTGAGCCAAGATTGCGCCACTGTACTCCAGCCTGGGTGTCAAGAGCAAAACTGTCTCAAAAGAAAAAGAGTTAGTGTGTGAAGATAAGTAAAATTATAAATAGATTTATTAAGTATTATGGAACCACAGAAGAGAGATAGCTAGATCAGGAAAGACTGGGCTGGATAACAAACAACTAATGATCTTGAAAAGACCTGATGTTAAACCTTAGTGTTGGAAAGCAAGTAATAGGTAAGTAAAGAAAGCAGGATCTTTTAGGCACAGGAAATACAAAACTACAAAGTTGGGCAGAGCAAAGTAGCTACGGAAAGGAAGCCACCAGATAATTTTAAATAAGGGATGGCATAATCAGTTTATTAGTTTGTATCAGTATTATCAGGATTATTTTGCATCATTAATGTATCTACATACTCTGCATTCCAGCACTCAATTCTTAGAGCATTAATTTCTTTTCTTTTTTTTTCTTTTTTTTGAGACGGAGTCTGGCTCTGTGGCCCAGGCTGGAGTGCAGTAGCCGGATCTCAGCTCACTGCAAGCTCCGCCTCCCGGGTTTACGCCATTCTCCTGCCTCAGCCTGCCGAGTAGCTGGGACTACAGGCGCCCGCCATCTCGTCCGGCTAGTTTTTTGTATTTTTTTAGTAGAGACGAGGTTTCACCGGGTTAGCCAGGATGGTCTCGATCTCCTGACCTCGTGATCCGCCCATCTCGGCCTCCCAAAGTGCTGGGATTACAGGCTTGAGCCACCGCGCCCGGCCTAGAGCATTAATTTCATGTCTATTTTGACATATGTTAAATTTCAGAGACAATATCTCTGAAAAGCATTTCCAAGTCTGAGGCAGAATGGACACAATCTTGGAATATTTAGAGGATGCATATTAAAAGTTTTGCCTTGTCACTATGTGAACTTGGCTAGGTTATTTCACGTTTGCAGCAGAAATACCTCCTTTCTACTTCAGAGGTTGTTGTAAACATTAAGTTGAACATACACAGCATGACAACCTGGTATATGTCAAATACTGAAAAAATTATTATAGAAATAGAATAGAATAAGGCTTGCTGTAATGATTAAATTTTAGCCAAATGTTTTCCTAATGCTGGGACACAGATGTGCAAATACATATTCTGTTTATTTAAATCTCTATGGTATTAGAAATGTTATAACTTGTGAAAGCAAAATAACAAAATATTTTTAGGTATTAAACAAAAACTTTTAAAATATTTGATTTGAAACTAAGTAATCTAAAGCAAACATGCTAGAATAATCTAAAGCAAACATGCTAGAATATTCTATTTCTTGAAATGAAGAAACAAATTAATTTTACTATTTTAAATGGAAAAAAATTTAATTCTGAGTACTTTTCTAAAAATATATTTTAATAGTTTTTGTTTCATAGTTATTTTTCATTTAAACTAACTTCATGAGTATTTTAAATAAAATCTTTATGGAGCTATGACATACACACATTGCAAGTTACAGCTTAAAGGATTTTCACAAAGACCCAAATTAAGAAACAAAATATTACCAACAGTTTAAAATTCCCCTAGGTCTCTTCCAGCCACCATGCCCTTTACTCTTCACAAATAACCAGTATCTGTACTTCTGTCACTAAAAATTAGTTTTACCTGCTTTTGGATGTTATGTAAATGGAAAAACACAGTATGTGCACCTAGAGTTAGTTTAATCTATTTTTGAACTTTGTTTAAATGTACTCTTTTGTCTCTAGCTTTCAGTCAACATTGTTTGCATCAATAAATTTTTTTTTCTTTTGCACTTTTTACATTAATGAATACTGATATGTAAAAGTACATGAAAGTACATGGAAAAATAACAGTATGAAAACGATGCAAAGCAAGTTAGAATACAATACCTAGGTAATTAATAATACAAAGATATTAATTTTGCACCTGTTCTAATTTGCTCTATGACATACAACTGATAATTTTTAATTGATTTAACTTCTGACTTTCTTTTGAATACCTAGGGTCAAGATTTGATTTTAAGGCTTTAATGAAAATTGTTTAATAGATGTTTCTTTTTTTATTATAAGTTCTAGGGTACATATGCAGAACGTGCATGTTTATTACATAGGTATACATGTGCCATGTTGGTTTGCTGCACCCATCAACTCATCATTTACATTAGGTATTTCTCCTAATGCTATCCCTCCCCTAGACCCTCACCCTCCGACAGGCCCCGGTGTGTGATTTTCCCAACCCTGTGTCCAAGTGTTCTCATTGTTCAATTCCCACCTGTGAGTGAGAACATGCAGTGTTTGGTTTTCTGTCCTTGTGATAGTTTGCTGAGAATGATGGTTTCCAGCTTCATCCACGTCCCTGCAAAGGACATGAATTCATCCTTTCTTTATGGCTGCATAGTATTCCATGATGTATATATGCCACATTTTCTTAATCCAGTCTATCACTGATGGACATTTGGGTTGGTTCCAAGTCTTTGCTATTATGAGTAGTGCCACAACAAACATATGTATGCATGTGTCTTTATAGTAGCATAATTTATAATCCTCTGGGTATATACCCAGTAAAGGGGTCGCTGGGTCAAATGGAATGTCTAGTTCTAGATCCTTGAGGAACTGCCACACTGTTTTCCACAATGGTTGAACTAATTTACATGCTCATCAACAGTGTAAAAGCATTCCCATTTCTCCACCTCCTCTCCAGCCAGCATCTTTTGTTTCTTGACTTTTTAATGATCGCCATTCTAACTGGTGTGAGATAGTATCTCATTGTGGTTTTGATTTGCATTTCTCTGATGACCAGTGATGATGAGCATTTTTTCATGTGTCTGTTGGCTGCATAAATGGTTTCTTCTGAGAACTGTCTGTGCATATCCTTTGCCTACTTTTGATGGGGTTTTTTTCTTGTAAATTTGTTTAAGTTCTTTGTAGATTCTGGGTATAAGCCCTTTGTCAGTGGGTAGATTGTAAAAATTTTCTCCCATTCTGTAGGCTGCCTGTTCACTCTGATGGTAATTTCTTTTGCTCTGCAGAAACTCTTTAGTTTAATTAGACCCCATTTGTCTATTTTGGCTTTTGTTGCCATTGCTTTTGGTGTTTTAGTCATGAAGTCGTTGCCCATGCCTATGTCATGAATGGTATTGCCTAGGTTTTCTTCTAGGGTTTTTATGGTTTTAGGTCTTACATTTAAGTCTTTAATCCATCTTGAATTAATTTTTGTTTAAGGTGTAAGGAAGGGATCCAGTTTCGGCTTTCTACATGTGGCTAGCCAGTTTTCCCAGCACCATTTATTAAATAGGGAATCCTTTCCTCATTTCTTGTTTTTGTCAG